GCCCGGGCCCCGGGGAGCCCGGGAGAGGGAGGCCCGAGCCCGAGGCCACGCCGCCCCTCTCCTTAGCGCGGGTCACACCGCCAAGCGGCTGATGGAAAACACCCACCGCAGTGTGAAATCAACACGTTCTCACTCCAATAGACGGAAAACAGCCAGCCCTTTCGCTGCAGACACGCTCTCCCCCCGAGGTCCGCGAGGCGGCAGCACGCGGTCCCCGTCCCCGTCCGCATCGCGTCCCCTTGGATGGCACCAGCCACAGGTGTCCTCGCCCGCCCCATCTTCCCCGGGCCCCTGCACCTTGGCGACTGCGAATACACCCGATCGGGCGCTGCCTGCGGAGCCTCCCTGAGCGGGGCCTGTATCGACGGCCAGGATTTCAATGTTCCCTTTCGCTTGTGACGTCCCTGTGGCACATCGCAACCATGTCGACGGTAGACACACCGTCACACTGCCACGGGGAGTCGCGGCTCTCAGAAAGCCATTTCAAACCTTCCCTTCGATTTGGTTGTGGCAAAACCACCCCGAGGAATAGGGGCGCTTCCGGAACCAGAACGTGTCAGCGGCACCTCGGGACTGGGAACTGAAGCCTCGAGTTCATCGCGGCAGAAAACGTCAGAAAAAGGTGAAGAGTGTGACATTGCGCCTGGCCGACGTGGCTCAGTGGTTGAGTGTCGACCTACGCACCAGTCAGGGCACGTGCCCGGGTTGCAGGCTCCACCCCCAGTGTGGGGTGTGCGGGAGGCCGCCGATCCACGCTTCCCTCTCATCATTGATGTTTCTCTCTCTTTCCCTCTCCCTTCCTCTTGAAATCAATACAACGGGACATATTTTCATGGCCCCTTTGTTCCCTTCCCCACCACACAGCAGCGCCTCCCGGGCACAGGTCCGGCCAGCACCTGGCCCAGAGCTCCTGGGAGGAGAGGGGGGCCTGTGGCGTTGGAGTTCGTGTCCGGCCAAAGCCACCAGCACCGGGCGTCTTACCTTAGCTCAACTGCATGCTGTCGTAGGGACTGTCAGTCTGGCGAGAAACACCCTCGAAAGGAGGCAGCTGGCCCCGGCACTGACAGCTTGCGGGAGGGCCGTCCCAGGTCCCTGTCACAAGAGAAAATAGAGAAAGAAACGACGTAAAGTGAAATGTAACCAATCCGCCCCATCCTGGCGACAGGCGGGGGTCAGGGAACTTCACTGGAAAAGGTGAGAGAGGACATCCAAGCCCGAGTGGGTGCTGGAGGCACCAGAAGCTAAACAGTGCCCAGCGCTGGGACCTTTCATTTCCATCAGATCAATAAGAGCTTATATTTATCAGGGCTCCAAGCAGCTGCCAGGGCTGACAACCTCCACTTTATTTTCTCACTCCTGGCGCGGGATCGGGGCAGAAAGGAGAGGAGACGCGCGTTTCATGCTATTTACACCTGAAGACACAACCCCATTAAGAGGTCCTGTTTGTTAAAGACGCGGGGGCAGCGAGGACGCTGGCGGGAGCGGGAGCCTCTTTGTTCTCCCCAGCAGGCTCCCTCCTTTGCAATCCGGACCCAGCCGGCAGGTCGCC